TTTTCTTTTAGCCTGTGCTGGGATTGTTTGAGGTTATTTGCAAATTACTGAAACAAATATTAAAAAAAAACAAAAAACACACACACAACAACAAAACCCCCAAATTATAAACTATTAGAACAGATATTCTGTGTCTTCTGTAGTACTGGTATTCTATTGAAATCAGTATGGTGTTCATGATCTGAGCCACAGTCAGTTCCCAGTCTTGTTTTTGCTAGCTGTATAGAGCTTCTCCATCTTTGACTGCAAAGAATATAATTCATCTGATTTCATTATCGACCATTTGGTGATGCCCATGTGTAGAGTCATCTTGTGTGTTGTTGGAAGAGAGTGATTGTTATGACCAGTGCATTCTCTTGGCAAAAAATTCTGGTGCATTAATTTACTGATATTCTACCCACTCAGTCCACTGAAATCTGACTTTAGTTACTACCACTAACAAAAAGCTTCCTTTCCGAGCTATCTAGGATCTTCCAGCTTGCCATTTCAACTGTGTCTGTTTAGCCATGATGACACTTTTTCTGTCTCTGCAGTTTTTGGCACTGTTGTATTGTTGATATCATCTTTCTTAAAATGTTTTTGTACTCTTAGTTTCTGTATCATGGCACTTTCACAATTTGTTGTCTTTCTTTGACTATTACACTTCATAGGATAAGTGGGAAAGTGTCTTATATTTGAGGTAACCATATGTTTGGGCATATCTGGTCATTTCTTATCTGTTTACATTCACTCAACAAATATTTATTGAGTGACAACAAAGTGCTAGCCCTGGATATGTAGTGGAGAGCAAAACAGATATCAATACAGTCTTTCTGAAGTTCAGAGTTTCAACTTTCTTTTTTGTATCTGTTGCTACTGTATAACAAATTGCCTCAAATTTAGTGGCTTAAAACAATACACTTGTTATCTTATAGTTTTGATGGACCAGGCATCTGGGCATGGCTTAGCTCTGCTCTCTGCTTCAGATCTCTCATAAGGCTGCAGTCATGGTGTTGGCCAGGGGTGGAGTTTCATCTGAAGCTGTGACTGGGGAGAAAATGCTTCCAAGCTTGTGTTGATATTGGCGAGATTTATTTCCTTGGAGACTGGTGGACTCAGGGTCTCAGTTCCTTACTGGTTGTTGACCAGAGGCCACCATTTGTTCCTTGCCATGTGGGCCTCTTTATATAGCAGCTTGTTTGATCAGAACCAGTAAGTAAAAGAATCAGTAGAGTTGGATAGCAAGATGGAAGTTATAACCTCATCTAATGTATACATGGAAGTGGTAGCCTGGGTTGTTTTTTTTTTTAAATTGAAGTATAGTTGATGTACAATAATGGTAACCCACTCCAGTACTCTTGCCTGGAAAATCCCATGAACAGAGGAGCCTGGTAAGCTGCAGTCCATGGGGTCGCTAAGAGTCAGACACGACTGAGCGACTTCACTTTCGCTTTTCACTTTCATGCATTGGAGAAGGAAATGGCAACCCACTCCAGTGTTCTTGCTTGGAGAATCCCAGGGACGGGGGAGCCTGGTGGGCTGCATCTATGGGGCCACACAGAGTCGGACACGACTGAAGCGACTTAGCAGCAGCAGCAGCAGCAGTATGTAAATTACAGGTGTGCCATATAATGATTTACAATTTTTAAAGGTTATACTCCATTTGTAGTAACTATAAAATATTGGATGTATTCTCTGTGTTGTACAGTCTGGTATCCTATTAATTTATTTGAATTCTAATGGTTACAGTCAAATTAAAGATCCAACTCATGTTCAAATGGAAGAGATCACCCAGAGCAGAGCTATGGTGGCCATCTTAGAGTCTGCCTCTCACAAACCTCTTAATGTTTTTTTCTTAGAAATTCTAGCCACCTCAACTTCTAGTGCTCTCAAACTGAACTCATAAAGTTTTTCCTGAATTCATAGGTTTTCCCTAAATCTACATCTCATCCTATATTCCCTGACTTGGTCAGCAACCTCATATCCATCTAGTCATCTAGTCTAGAAACCCAGAGATCATTTTTAATACCTCCTCCTGATAGCTCAGTTGGTAAAGAATCCGCCTGCAATGCAGGAGGCCCTGATTCCATTCCTGGGTTGGGAAGATCCCCTGGAGAAGGGATAGGCTACTCACTCCAGTATTCTTGGGCTTCCCTTGTGGCTCAGCTGGTAAAGAATCCGCCTGCAATGCAGGAGGCCCTGATTCCATTCCTGGGTTGGGAAGATCCCCTGGAGAAGGGATAGGCTACCCACTCCAGTATTCTTGGGCTTCCCTTGTGGCTCAGCTGGTAAAGAATCCGCCTGCAATGCAGGAGACCTGGGTTCGATCCCTGGGTTGGGAAGATCCCCTGGAGAAGGGAAAGGCTACCCATTCCAGTATCCTGGCCTGGAGAATCCCTTGGACTGCATAGTACGTGGGGTCGCAAAGAGTTGGACATGACTGAGCAACTTTCACTTCACTCACCTGAGATATAATGGATCACTAGGCTCTGTGAGTCTTTCATATCATTCTCTACTTAATATTCACGTTGCTGTAGCTTTAGCTCTGCCATGGATCTTTATACTAACTTTCTAACCTTTGGTCCTCCTTTTGGTCCCCAGAGTTACCATTTACAGCCTGGGTCCACTTTTCCAGGCTTCTTGCCCACAGGTCTTTGCCCTTGTGCCCTAGGCATAGACCACTTGCTTCCAGAGCCCACCACTGCATATTTGTGCCTCTACATTTGGTCCTACAGTTACTTCTTGGATTCCCTTCTCCCTACTTCTGCCTCTAGAAACCTCTTTATACATCCAAATCTAACTGAAAAATCATCTGTTCCATAAAACTTTTCTCAGTTTTCCCTCTGCCTGCTAACTTCCTCATTCAGAATTAACCTGTGTGCTCTCTCAGCCCTTTTTCACTTGCACCACTGTTATAAGATTGCTTTCTGTAACAAAAAAAGTGGTTTGTGTGGTTTGCTTTCTGCAATTTTTAGTTGGTTGCTAAGGTACTTCTCATTTAAAATGTGAAAGGGTAGGCTCTAGATCTTATTCTACTCTGGATCCAAAGTACCTCTCTCTGAAGTGGTGATTCACAGTCTTGGCTGCTTTTGGGATTACTTGGGGAGCTCTGAACATCACTGATGCCTGGACCCACCCCTCAAGGTGACAATATAATTGGTCTGGGGTACAACCTGCGGTATTAACATTTTTAAAAGCTCTGTAATTCTAACATGTAGGTCATACTGAAAGTCTCTGCTTCTAGTTGGAGAAACCAAGTCTCTGGGAGAATGAAAGGATAAGAAAATGTTAAACATTTAATGAACAGAGAAACTTTAAACCAGAGTTAAAGTTGAGTTTTAAAAAATCAAACACGCACAATTCAAATAATACATGACACAGCTAAGTAATCAGTTCAGTTCAGTCGCTCAGTCATGTTTGACCCTTCGTGACGCCATAAACCGCAGAATGCCAGGCCTCCCTGTCCATCACCAACTCCCAGAGTTTACCCAAATTCATGTCCATTGAGTTGGTGATGCCATCCATTTCATCCTCTGTCCCCCGCTTCTCCTCCTACCCTCAATCTTTCCCGGCATCAGGGTCTTTTCCAGTGAGTCGGCTCTTTGCATCATGTGGCCAAAGTATTGGAGCTTCAGCTTCAGCATCAGTCCTTCCAATGAATACCCAGGACTGATTTCCTTTGGGATGGACTGGTTGGATCTCCTTGCAGTCCAAGGGATCTTAAGAGTCTTCTCCAACACCATAGTTCAAAAGCATTAATTCTTCAGTGCTCAGCCTTCTTTATAATCCAACTCTCATGACCATATATGACTACTGGAAAAACCATAGCCTTGACTAGACAGACCTTTGTTGACCAAGTATTGTCTCTGCTTTTTAATATGCTATCTATGTTGGTCATAACTTTCCTGCCATGGAGCAAGCATCTTTTAATTTCATGGCTGCAGTCACCATCTGCAGTGATTTTGGAGCCCAAAAATATAAAGTTTGTCACTATTTCCACTGTTTGCCCATCTATTTGCCATGAAGTGATGAGACCGGATGCCATGACCTCAGTTTTCTGAATGCTGAGCTTTAAGCCAACTTTTTCATTCTCCTCTTTCACTTTCATCAAGAGGCTTTTTAGTTCCTCTTCACTTTCTGCCATAAGGATGGTGTCATCTGCATATCTGAGGTTATTGATATTTCTCCTGACAATCTTGATTCCAGCTTGTGCTTCTTCCAGCCCAGATGTACTCTGCATATAAGTTAAATAAGCAGGGTGACAATATGCAGCCTTGATGTACTCCTTTTCCTATTTCAAACCAGTCTGCTCTTCCATGTCCAGTTCTAACTTTTGCTTCCTGACCTGCATATAGGTTTCTCAAGAGTCAGGTCAGGTGGTCTGGTATTCCCATCTCTTTCAGAATTTTCCACAGTTTATTGTGATCCACGCAGTTCAAGGCTTTGGCATAATCAATAAAGCAGAAATAGATGATTTTCTGGAACATTCTTGCTTTTTCGATGATCCAGTGGATGTTGACAATTTGATCTCTGATTCCTTGGCCTTTTCTAAAACCAGCTTGAACATCTGGAAGTTCACGGTTCACGTATTGCTGAAGCCTGGCTTGGAGAATTTTGAGCATTACTTTACTAGCGTGTGAAATGAGTGCCATTGTGCGGTAGTTTGAGCATTCTTTGGGATTGCCTTTCTTAGGAATTGGAATGAAAACTGACCTTTTCCAGTCCTGTGGCCACTGCTACTAAGTAACCAAGGTGATCTCTAAATAGATCATTAGTGAACTGAGGGAATATGTATTTTTGTGGGAGAAGTTAGAAATATAAAAGAGAATAAAATTGTAGTCATTCAAAATCCAACACTTTAATTTTTGTGCATATGAAATAAGTGATAAAATGAAATAAAGAGTCACCTGGAATTTTTAGCATTTTCCTTTTTGTTAGCCCTAAAGTGTGTGTCTGTGTGTGTGTGCGTGAAATACATAAATTATTTACCCATTAATCTTATTTTCTCCTTTATTTTCCAGGGATATTTTGAAAACAATTGCCTTAGGTCAGATGTTATCCTTGTGTATATGTGGGACAGCCATCACCAGCCAGTATTTGGCAGAAAGGTATAAAGTGAATACTCCCATGCTTCAGAGCTTTATCAACTATTGCTTGCTGTTTCTAATTTACACAGTGATGCTGGCATTTCGATCAGGTATGTCAAATTACCTTTTTAACAAATTATCTTCATAAAAATGTTTGGCTCTATACATTCAAAAAACAAAAGATGAGCCAAAACCAAGAACAGGAAACTGCTGCTGTTTTTATAAAAGTCACTAGAAAGGTATGACACCTCTGAATTCTATGAAGTTAGTGACTAGAGATTTATGTATAGCTCTCTGAAATTGTTGATTAAAATGATTAGCATCAACGTGTAACATAGGATTTGTCCAAATAAAAGAAAGTGTAAATGCCATTATAAGTTACACCTCCCCCCCCGCCCCGTGGTTGACAAACTTAAGAGACAGTATTAAAAACACTTAAAAAGTCAAGAACCTCACTTTCCAAAATATATATTTCCAGCTAAGTGGAGAATGCTAAATAGAGCACCACTGCATGTAAATGTGAGAGAAACAAAACAAGGAATTAACATCTTATCCAAGATTGATTTCTATTGTGTAAAGACAACGGGTAACCCAGACGGGGAGGGTGCAGTACTACCATTTTCATCACATTTAAAGCATATGATAGAATTACCAGTGTGGTGGTTGCTCACCTCTGATTAAGATCCTCTTTTAATATGAACATTAATACCTCAATGGTATTCCTATACATCAGGATAAATAACTTACTTTTGAAAGAAAGTGGAAGCCAATTATGAGAAGGGGAAAATATCCTAAGGGGAAAGCACCAAATTTGACAAGAACTGTAGGAGCCAGTACTTTGGCCACCTCATGCAAAGAGTTAACTCATTGGAAAAGACCCTGATGCTGGGAGGGATTGGGGGCAGGAGGAGAAGGGGATGACAGAGGATGAGATGGCTGGATGGCATTACCGACTTGATGGGCATGAGTTTGAGTAGACTCTGGGGGTTTGTGATAGACAGGGAGGCCTGGCGTGCTGCGATTCATGGGGTCGCAAAGAGTCGGACACGACTGAGCGACTGAACTGAACTGAACTGAACTGAATCGTAGGAGTTGGAAATAGAACTGGTGTATCATGGTTAATAGCCCCAGAATTTGCTCCTCTCTGTAAGAATTGGCCTTTAGGAAGTCAGTATGATTTGTAAATGTATCAGTGAAGTCCCTCTAACGGATGGTTATTATTGTGTTTAGTTGCTAAGTCAGTCTGACTTTGTGACCCCATGGACTTTAGCCCACCTGGCTCCTCTGTCCATGGGATTTCTCAGGCAAGAATACTGGAGTGATTTGCCATTTCCTTCTCCAGGGGTTCTTCCTGACCCAGAGATTGAACCCCCGTCTCCTGCATTGCTGGCAGATTCTTTACCACTAAAAAAATGATTTGTAAATAAATCAGTGAAATCCCCCAAGGGATGGTTATTATTAATAGACGCCTTCCATGCTATCTCATGTTAGGAAGACTATGTTTTTAGGATATTCCTGCTCATTGGGATTTAATGATAATTATTGTGGATGGTGACTGCAGTCATGAAATTAAAAGACACTTGCTCCTTGGAAGAAAAGCTATGACCAACCTAGACAGCATATTAAAAAGCGGAGACATTACTTTGCTGACAGAGGTTCGTATAGTCAAAGCTATGGTTTCTCCAGTAGTCATGTATGGATGTGAGAGTTGGACCATAAAGAAAGCTGAGCACTGAAGAATTGATACTTTTGAACTATGGTGTTGGCGAAGTCTGTTGAGAGTCCCTTGGACTGCAAGGAGATCCAACCAGTCCATCCTAAAGGAGGTCAGTCCTGGGTATTCATTGGAAGGACTGATGCTGAAGCTGAAGCTCCAATACTTTGGCCACATGATGCAAAGAGCCGACTCACTGGAAAAGACCCTGATGCCGGGAAATATTGAGGGTAGGAGGAGAAGCGGGGAACAGGGGATGAGATGGTTGGATGGCATCATCGACTCAATGGACATGAGTTTGAGCAAACTCTGGGAGATAGTGAAGAACAGGGAAGCCTGGTGTGCTGCTGTCCATGGGGGTGTGCAGAGTCAGACACGACTAAGTGACTGAACGACAGAATCTGACTATGATTCTCACTACCTTGATTTCTTGCAGGTTATCTTACCCATAAAGCCTTCTTGTATAGCTGCCAACTCTGTATCTCCTTGTGATCTTCAAAGAAATGATTCACAGTTAACTTGAATAAATAGAATTTAGGGGATAAAAGGTGTTTCTTCAATGATGCCACTAAGTCATTTTTTCAAACTTACCACTGGCTTAATTATCTGTTGAAAGCAGATCTTTTCTAAAAGAATTTATCTGTTTGATAAATTTATAAGAAAACATTTCATTTCCTCAGATGATCTAGATGTTATATTTCTGTTGCAGTAGGAAAGAAAAAGGAATTCAGTGAATTTAACCACTGTTACTTCCTTTATCTTTGTTGTTTTCATTGAGCACTTGGTCTATGATGACACCTTAGCTTGGACTTCATACTAGAAAAAAATCTGAGCTACTCTGCTGAGCTGTTGCAGGAGTTTGAGTTATGAATAATGGACATTAGGAGGGACCATGTTCAATGTACATAGTGGTAAAGTTTGTGCCTATAATGCAGGAGACCTGGATTAGGTCCCTGGGTTGGGAAGATTTCCTGGAGGAGGGCATGGCAATCCACTCCAGTATTCTTGTCTGGAGAATCCCCATGGACAGAGAAGCCTGGTGGACTACAGTCTATAGGGTCACAAAGAGGCAGACACAGCTGAGCGACCAAGCACAGCCCAGCACAAATACTAGCTTTGACTCTTTATCTCTAGATTAACATGCATGGAATAATTTTCAAGTAACATGTCCTAATCTAGATTTCTTTCAACCAGGTGGTGATAATCTTTTATACATCTTGAAAAAGAAATGGTGGAAGTACATCCTGCTTGGACTAGCAGATGTAGAAGCTAATTACCTGATTGTCAGAGCATACCAGTACACAACTCTAACCAGTGTCCAGGTAAGAAGGAGTCCTCTGACCAGTTTGGATTTTATAGCTTTAAGAGAGGAATCTGAACTCATATGTGCTCACCTAATTTCCTTAAGAACCTGTTCACTCAGAAAAAAAATAAAAATAGTGGATGTTATCTGTTTTCCAGTGGAGCATGTGTGCTAATGCGAAAGGCTTCCTGGAATTAGTGAAAATGTGTACAAGTTAATCTGTCCCTAAACTGCTAATGCTATAGATGAATAGAACAGTTGCTACCAAATAAACATAAATATTTAGTTGGCAATCGATGCTGTGATGTTGGAAAGAGTTCTGTTTTGTGTGTTGCTTAAATGGCATATAAAGTGAATATACTATTGTGTCCCAGAAAAGTTGGAGTCTTACAAGTAAAGTAGATATCTAAGACAACTAATAGGTTGTTGTCTTTTTGTTGTCTGTTATCTAATAGGGCATTAGACATTTTAGGTAAAGGTGGTAGCCAAAAGTAAAACTTATACCTATTCCTTTTCTAGGTTTATTCTCATTAGGTTGAAAGAAAAATGTTCCTACAAAGCAGTACTTTTCAGCTTGGTGGAGTTGAGGACGACTGATTAAGTTGTCTTAACATTAGGGAGTTCCCTGGTGGCCTTAGTGGTTAGGATTCTGGACTTTCACTGCTGTGGCCAAGTTTGATCCCTGGTCGGGGAACCAAGATCCAGCAAGCTATGTGACACACCCTAGACAAAGAAGAGTTGTCTTAATGTTAGCAAACTTGGGATGTATCATAACACTGACTCCTCATTGCTAATAATAAAATGTGTTGTAAATGGGGAAGAAAGTAAAATAGATACCCATGTCAGGTTTAGACTTCACAGTTTACTGAATTTATGACTTAAAAAAAAATTGGTTGTGGCATGTGGCATCCACTTTCTTTACCAGGGATCAAACCTGAGCTCCCTGCATTGGAATCGCAGAGTGTTAGTCACTGGACCACCAGGGAAGTCCCTGAATTTATGACTTTTGATGCACCTTTTTTTTTTGGCTGTGCTGTATAGCTTGCAGAATCTTAGTTCCCCGGAGATATTGGACCTGTGCTCTCAGCAGGGAAAGCACACAGTCTCTACCACTGGACCACCAGAGAATTCCTGTTGCTTTATTTTTTCCTATAAAACAGAGATGGTCTTATCACCAAATTTAAGAAACTTGGAAAAATTGAAGATTTAAAGAGAAAGATTAATGATTAATGAAAACTCAGTATTTTTCTGATGTGAATACGCATTAAGTGCTATTATTACCAGAATGCCGTTTAATACTGTGCTAAGCATTGTCCTCTGGGCTTCCCAGGTGGCTCAGTGGTAAAAAGAATCTGCCTGTCAAGCAGAAGACGCGGGTTTCATCCCTGGGTCGGGAAGATCCCCTGTAGAAGCAAATGACAACCCACTCCAGTATTCTCGCCCGGAAAATCCCATGGACAGAGGAGCCTGGTGGGAAAGATAGGAAATCTTTTTTGAGACAGACATCATAAGAGGCACATGAAAAACTCAGAATTTCATAGAAATTAAAACCAGGAGTTACCTAGAAGATGCATTCATCACAAATAGTATTAAGTGTACTTTTAGCAATGAATAATAAGAGTGTAAGTATATAGAAAATGTACCCTATATAAAAGAGCCGACTCATTGGAAAAGACCCTGATGCTGGGGAAGATTGAGTGCTGGAGGAGAAGGGGGTGACAGAGGATGAGATGTTTGGATGGCATCACCAACTCAATGAACATGAGTTTGAGCAAACTCTGGGAAATAGTGAAGAACAGAAAAGCATGGCATGCTGTGTTCCATGGAGTCACAGAGTCAGACACAACCTAGTGACTAAACAACAACAAATACAGAAAATGGCATTTTTCTAGTCACATTTACCTTCATGATCTCACACACAGTTTAATTGCTTGATTATAATTCTCAGAAATTTTGATCTGTGACAGATAATGATTAGGAGTTTTGAACTGGTACAGGTCTAAACAGAGCTAAGCAAAATACTTACACTGAGGTTTTGTGACTAAAGTTCATGCCTTAAACTAATCTCAAATGATTTCTTTCATCCTAGCCTCTTAGAAAAACCTAAGCATTTGGTTGTCTAAAATTAAGTACTTATGGTACTAGAAAGCCATATTATAAAAAGTGCATCTAACAGCTAAACCTCCTTCCATCAGAGAAGAGTGCCTGTCATTGGAATTCTTCAATCAGATTATCTCCTTGAGTAAACCTCTAGTCTGGTTAATCTGAAAGGGTAGAACTTTGCTTCTTTGTTTCTTTATGGACACATGTAGGATCTTAGTTTACCAACCAGGTATGGAACCAGTGCCCCCTGCAGTGGAAGCACAGAGTCCCAACCACTGGAACACCAGGGAATTCCCCCTGAGAGGGTGGAAGTTTAAATTGGATGGTCTTTGAACCTCTTTCTTAAGGATTCTTTCAAGGATTCTGTGATTGTAAATACTGATGTAGTAGTTCATGATGTGTCCATTGACATTGCTGGCCTAAGTTTCTACTCATGTTACTTCTCATGTCACTTGCCGTATCTACACATTCCCTACACACAGCCAGCTTCTCTCTCTTACGTTGCTCTGTTGTTTCTAGAATGCATCCTTTTCAAAGCCCCTTCTCAAAGGCCTAATTCAATTTCATTTTCTTCTTTATAGAGTATACTCCATTGTATCACTAACAAAGTCTGATTCATGTTTATATCCATCCTTCCCCCTCATTCCAGGTTCTTACTTCCTGTGTCTATATAATAATTTTTTTTAAAGCAAAGAAGAATATTTTTAATAATGAAAGGAGCAATTCACAAAGAAGGTAGACATCAGAAACCATTAGATACCTTATCAAGAAACAAAGATACATAAAGGAAAAATCAGAAGAAATGAAAAGAAAAATATATAATCATAGTGAGACATATTAACATTTCTCTGAGAGTATTTTATCAAGTGCAGAAAAAATAAGAATAAGAGCATCTTGAATGATGTCATTAATAATTTAAATATAATAATTTACATTTAATTAATTTATATTGATCATATCCTACACAAATATATTTAAAATTTTTTATCTCATATGTTGTTATTAGAAGTCCATAGGACATTTAGAAAACCTGGCAAAAAGATAAACATTACTTAATTTCAAAAAGTAGAATTGTGTGTATGATTCAGTTATACACACATGTTATTTTTGAAATTATTTTCCATTATAGGTTATTACAAGATATTGACTATAGTTCCCCATGCCACACAGTAAACCTTTGTTGCTTGTTGCATATCTATTTTTTTAAATCAGAAATCTAGCCAATAATTTTTAAAGATTAAATTAAATAGACGGCTCTTAGAACTAAAAGCATCAAGCAGAAGGCATCTGTCACCAGGAATACATTTTGGAAAGATTCAGTTTAGATAAATGCTGACTGTGATAGATACCAGATTAGAAGTCATGGAACTTTAGAGTGGCCAGGTATCTTGAGATCATTTGGTCTGACTTCTTGATTTCAGATTTTGACTCAAGAGTTGACTAGCTGGAGATCACATAGTTGGTCAATGTCAGGGCTGGATCCTGAGGCCTTGGGAGCTTTTACTAAGATGTAGGTTCCTCCCTTATATGGCCAGTCATTGCCCACCAAAAATGGTTAAAAATAGAGCAGGTTTAAGTTTGATTTTAAGACACAATTTGAGGATAGGGAGTCTTCTGTGATAGTTTTTAGAGTGATTTTTGTCTGCTTTTTTTTGTTTAAGGAATATAGTTTCGATTTTATTACTTCACTATGGCTAGATTCTTTTGGTGTCTTCCAGGACAAGCTATTATCATTTGTATCGTTTAATGGTTTGTTTTTCAGGCAGGCTCAATAAAGCACTTAAGAGATTAGAGTTCTATAGATGGAATAAATAACAGAAGGCAAAGTGCCCATTCCTATACTTGACATTGCAATGAAAGGCAATCAGTAAACAATTGTGGACAGGATCAAACAGGCTGCTGAGATTTAGGGGCCTGCCTTGTCCAAGACTAAATAGATACAGAGCACATCAGAGACAAGGTTAAAAAAAAGAACAGGATGAGCAGTCACATAGCAACATCAGGAACACTATTAGTAAAAGGAATATATTTTATCCTTGAATGTACTCTACAAATGTGTGCTTTTGAGAATCGAATGAATGAAATCTCTTTTTCCTTTATCTTGCAAAGATTTTGGATTTACTCTAATTTTGGCATTCTTAGTCCCCCTGCCTTTCAGACTGGCAATATCAGGGGTGTAGAAAGTATTTTCTGGAGCCAGGATCAACAGGTGGGGGAGGAGTATATGATGAAGATGAGCGAGAGTATTTGCTGGGAGCAAGTATCTGTCTTATATGGTGGGGTTGGACACTTTGTCAGGGAGATGGTGTCTGTTTGCTTTCTCATAATAACCTGTTCTTTTTGTAGTTCTTAAGCCCAATTGCAATTAAACATTGGTTATGTGATTTTTCTCTGTCTAGGGTTCTAAATACTCCACTTTGTGCCTTTCCTGTTCTCTACATTTCACCTCCTCCATTAGTGTCTCCCACATATCATGTACTTAAATATTTATTGACTGAATGGGTGCATGTCTACTGGACTTAAGGATAAACACAAGTGAGAGTGTAGAAGTAAATTGCATCGGCTGTTGGGCAGAATTCCTGGGTTCATCAACTGACTCCCAAACTCTTAACTGTGTAATTTTGGGCAGCTCATTTAACCTCTCTGTGACTTTGGTTTACTCATGGGTAAAATGGAGGTTGAAGTTCCAGTTTCATAGAGTTGTTGTGAGGATTAAATGAGTTCATCCAGATAAAGCATTTAGTACAGGGCTGGCAATAATAAATGCTCAATAAACACTGATTTGTTATTACTTAGTCATTTTTTCACTAATGAGAGGTATTTTCAGGTATTTATTTCTCTTTTCATGCAGCTTTTGGATTGCTTTGGGATTCCTGTGTTGATGGCTCTTTCGTGGTTTATTCTTTATGCAAGATACAGAGTGATCCACTTCATCGCTGTGGCTGTCTGTCTGTTGGGTGTAGGAACTATGGTTGGTGCAGACATATTAGCTGGGAGGGAAGACAGTGCAGGTGAGACCGTGTTACTTGTTTTCTGGTTTAGTCACAGAAGACATTTTGCTTGCGCCTTCACTTTTATTTTGCAAAGATAAAGTAAAAGGCAGAGGACATGTCCCGATTACCTATCTTAAAATTTTTATTTTTAGATTTGCTTGCTTCTGGTACTATGACCACTTCAACACAGCAGTCTATGTTCCTACCTGCCCAGAGTCTTTGCTTTTTGTCATACTCATTTGTTTTGTGTCCTGAGAGAGAAGTTTCTTTATATATTTGCAATAATCTTCTTTTGGCCCATACATTCAGATTAGTTGCCGGAAACCCTACTGTAGATTTTGTTTCCATCAAAAAGGAGACTTTGTGTTCACAGAATGACCTCTATTTCAGTTACTCTGTAGATGAGAACATTTTGATACTCTTTATGTCACGGTTGAGATAGTTCATAGAATAAAATCTAAATAAAGTCTATGAATTTCCCCAATCTGCAAACAACTTCAGTGTCTCCTTTGATTGAGAAAATTACCTTGCTTACCTAGCTTCCTTCCCTGTAGTTTTCAATGAATCCCCATTAATAAATTCCATTAATTTCCCATGTCATAGAATCATTTTTCTGGGGCCTTACATTATGGTATACACTACCATCTTCCAATCTGTTAGTCTCCTGAAGATCCAAAATAAGAAAAACGAAAGCAGAATTGTGCCAGAAAGTGAGAAGAGTAAGAGTCTTTAAACTTTTAAAAATCAGGGTTTCTTCTTCTGTAAAATCTTTTTTAGATGATTATGAGCCAGATAAACTTATGGAAGCAAGCTGGAGAGTTTCCCCTAGTGACAATGTATTCCTTTTTATGGCTTATCTCTCTATAGGTAATAATGTACTGATTGGTGACATCTTGGTCCTTCTTGGAGCTTCCCTCTATGCTGTTTCTAATGTGTGTGAAGAATACATCGTGAAGAAGCTGAGCAGACAGGAGTTTTTAGGAATGGTGGGCTTGTTTGGAACAATTATCAGTGGCATACAGCTGTAAGATTCTAAACATATCCTTAAAAACAAAATCAGCAAATATGTCATAGATGATTAGTTTCCAGCTACTAACATGCATTGTTTATTTGGCCTAAATTCATATTTGAAATCAGTAACTTGCTAAATGTCTATTAGAAGATTGTTGAAATGTCAATAATTATGCCTCATTTTTTTTACACATGTTTGATGCTTAAGATTCCTGCTTGTAATATCATTAGACTTTATATTACCAGTGAAGGCTTTCTTTTTTGGTTATTCCTAGAAAATATTAACTTCCTATTCATAATATCATGTTTCCCTCCTGTAGCTGACTGCCACTAAACAGTGCTTCTAAGGGTGTCAAACATGTGTTTATGGACTCCTTTGAGTTTTATTCTTTGTCATTTAATTAAAGATAGTTTTTTTTTTTAATATTCTATGAAAACCAAAAGTCAACATAATTCATCATCTTAAGAGCTGAAGAACTTAAAGTGAAGTACTTGAAGTTTTGAAGCAACTTACTTGTTTATAAAACAGTGAAAATTTATATAAAGATCTCTCTGTGACCTCTTGTTTTAATCACAGATTGATTGTGGAATATAAGGATATTGCCAGCATTCATTGGGACTGGAAAATTGGTATGTATATATATAATAGTTATTTTTAGTCTTTCCCCTGACACACACCAAGAAATAAATATTTTAATAATACTATTTAGGCATTTTTATATAAAATCACAGAGTAATTTAGTACACAGAAAACTGTAGTGGTTTATGTCAAGTTTCTCTGAGAACTTGTAAATGAACCCCCATAAAAGTTAATCCTTAATCTTTACCTTCAAGAATAACCTTTCTTTACTAGGAATTCTGAATAAGACTGACCTTTGGTCACACTAGCTTTCAACTAGATCTGTATTTCGTGTCTTCAGACTGCTTGTAAAGATTACCTGCTTGATATAATCAGTGAAGTATTAACTTAAATAATCTGATGGTGTGCAGTCACTACCATCTTGCATTACCTCTCTCATCTGATAGTCTTAAGCATCTGTACAGATGAGCAGCAGAAGAAAGCAGTAGTGGGACAGTCAGGAAAGATTTGAACCTTACGGATGGAAAAAAGTAGTGCATGAGTGTCATTGAATTGAAATTCATCTACTGTGCTTGGATGATTTCATTCAAGTAAATCGCTTAGATTTCCTGTGTGTGTACTGTGTATGTGTTGAGTGAGGTTGGAGAAGCGGTTGTGAAGCAGAGATACTAAGTAGTCAGCACCCACGTGACTAGCCTGCCTGGGATGAACAAAAGATAAAACCCTAACAACTGTCTTTGATGCCCCAAAAATACTTTATTCTGAATTCAGCCACACAAATCGTGTCCAACCATGATGCCTTTTATCATTGGCATCTCTCTGGGCAGGTGTGGATAGCATGGAGCGAAAAGAGCTGTTAACTTATGCCATATGCAAGATTCTATGGCCTTGATCATCTAACACTCTGTTGGGTTTTTTTAAGTTCTTCATCTACATCCAGTGAGAATTTTGTATGTCTCATTTGTAATGCTTACTGTTAACGAGGGACTTTGTGGATGGTATGTTAAAGGATCAGGGAATTTTACGTCATGCAAGCTTTATCCTTTATCTTTTGATTTCTTCCTTTAACATTAGATATTCCATTTTTCCCCCCACAGCCCTGCTATTTGTAGCATTTGCCCTCTGCATGTTTTGCCTGTACAGCTTCATGCCACTGGTGATCAAAGTCACCAGTGCCACTTCTGTCAACCTGGGCATCCTGACAGCTGACCTTTACAGTCTTTTCTTTGGACTTTTTCTGTTTGGCTATAAGGTGAGCATATAGATCTTGTTCAAATAAGAACACTTGTTTGGTATAAAAGAAGTAGTGGGTTTTTAAAAAATTTTAGATCCCAAAATAAAACCTTCTCATCTCCTTAGCAAGAATTTCTTACTGCCTTAGAAATCTATCTTTCCATAGTATAAAGCTTGTTGACCTGCCTGCTATTACAATCATTTGAACAAGTAGAATGTCAGCTGTTGCTTGCTAATGTTACATTTAGCTGGGTATAGCAACTGTATTTCTTTATCTTTATAAAGTTTTAGATCTGGGTGGAAATAACTTGGTATTGATTGACACTATTCCCAGGAATTGACCATGAACTCAGAATGCCTACTTCACTGTGTTCCCAGAAATTTCTGCTTAAGAAGCATAAACCAGTTTTGCTTTTCAAGATTATGTCATAGGAACTAGCTGTTATCGTTGCAACAACCCTGCTGGTTATGGTATTCACAAACTAAGCCTGAAGATGTATTTATAGCTGTTTGGTGGCATCATTAGAAAGTGACCCATGTCAGAGTGAATCAGAACAGTGATCTTGATAGGCTTAGGTTCTTTCCTGTGATAACAATCATTACGGGGTACAAAGCAATCCTTTCAAGATCGTTAGCTGTTCTGTGCTGGTGTTATTGCATTTCACGTGGCCTCCACTAGAGGACCGTGGTGATTTTATTCTGCAGTTCAAGGTCAGGTGATGGCTACCAGAGAAAGCTTGAAAGCTCTGCAGTATAACTTGTGGCCTGGCTCACCTGTGCTTTTTTTAAAACTAAACATATTGAGATAGCATTAGTAGTTTAACATTTACTTTTCCCTCATAAGTAAAATAATGTCCAAGGAGGAAGTAAGCGTAAAGAAACAAAAGCTTCATAGTGAAAATACACTTGTCGCTACCTATTATAAGCTCCCTAATTGTAGCTATTTGCTCTTTAACTGCGATTAACTTTAATGAGAAAAAGACTTTTTGTGTGTCATTGTTTTGCCCAAATGATTTACACTATTGTTTTCAAAATGGAACGTGCAAACGATAAATTCCTTTGCAGTTCTTTTGCTTCGTGTTTCTTTGTCCCTGCATGTCTAGCAGCTCACTTTTAACTCAGATCAGATTTTATTCTTTTTGGTCAAAAGCTATTTCAAGACTTGTAAAGGAAAGAGGAGGTCTGCTGTGATCTTCAGAGTAAATTACAGAGGTTGGAAATCATACAGAACATCAAGAAGATACCTAGGATTTTAGAAGAAAATTTTAAGTAAAGAATCACAGCTCAATATATCACCAATTTAAAAAAGTGTAGCATCTAAGATAACTTGGGCTCTGATATTTTGAAACAGTTGAAGAAGATGTTAAAAATTTCTACCTTCATTGGTGTCAGACTCCACACCCCCAGATTGATCTTTAGTAAATATTCACTGAACAGAGTAGCCACAGAAACTTCCTATATAGATCCAGACACAAAGGGTAGAATTGAAAATTGAAAAAATTGAAAATTCAGGAGACTTATTATCTCACTCCCTCAGAGTCTCTCTCTTCTAAGAAAGGTACCTCCATTTAATCACCTGGTGGCTCAGATGTTAAAGAATCTGCATGCAATACGGGAGACCTGGGTTCGATCCCTGGATCAGGAAAATCCTCTGGAGAAGGGAATGGCTATCCACTCCAGTATTCTTGCCTGGAGAATTATGGACAGAGGAGCCTGGTGGGCTACAGTTCATGGGGTTGCAAAGAGTTGGACATGATCGGGCAACTAATACTTCTTAAGAGGAACAAGACTTTTTCTTATAAACATTTAAAACCTCCAAATCAAGCAGAACATGTTTTGAATAAGTTACTGTGTTTCTTCACAGTTAAAAACGAACATTCTATGGGAGAGCACAATTGACTTTTATGATACTGACTTCAAAGTTTCAGTTCAGTTCAGTTCAGTTTAGTGCTCAGTCGTGTCCAACCACATGAATCGCAACATGTCAGGCCTCCCTGTCCATCACCAACTCCTGGGGTTGACTCAAACTCAAGTTCATCGAGTCGGTGATGCCATCCAGCCATCTCATCCTCTGTCGTCCCCTTCTCCTCCTGCCCCCAATCCCTCCCAGCATCAGGGTCTTTTCCAATGAGTCAACTCTTCTCATGAGGTGGCCAAAGTATTGGAGTTTCAGCTTCAGCATCAGTCCTTCCAATAAACAGCCAGGACTGACCTCCTTTAGGAGGGACTGGTTGGATCTCCTTGCAGTCCAAGGGACTCTCAAGAGCCTTCTCCAACACCACAGTTCAAAAGCATCAATTTTTCAGCGCTCAGCTTTCTTCACAGTTCAAAAGTTTAGGGTACTTTAAATAGCTTTAACTCCCCCTTAATCTTCTCTGAATCACTTCCCCCACCCCCAAAGCTACCCCCCCCCACCAAGAAAAACATATTTATTCAATACTAGCTATGTGCTGGGTGCTGTGCTGAGATTGGATCCAAGAATGAAACCCATGGAGGGAATTAGTTTGGCTCCTACTCTGCTTGAAATTATCACTGGCTTTGCATCATCAGTGAATCCATTGGAGGCCTTCCCTCTTTGGGGAGGGCTCTGGCTATTCCAGGCTTCTGAAAGTTTAAGGTTAAGAAGTAATTGAGCATCTATGAAACATTAACATGTTAAAACCAATGGTGACCTGTAGAAGCCCATAGCTGGAGGTAACCAACAATCTATGTAATACTCATTTCAAAACCTATTTTGTTTCTCCTTCTACCCTTGGGAATGGGTCTCACTTTTTCTTCTCTTTCATTTTATTTCTCTTTTCCTTCTCCAACCCATTCTGTTTGCTTATTGTTTCATGCCATTGTTATATGTTGTGTCTAAATTTGGGTCTTTCCTTTTAGCCTCTCCACTAAGTAAGTGGGACTAGTTGTGAGGTGGAATGTAGCTGTATTATTGCAGAGAAAGGCAAGAGTCCGTTTCCTAGAGATCTAAGATTTTTCACCCAGTTGACTGATGTGCTGGGTAATGGTGGCAGAAATCACACATTCACCAGTACACACACTTGGGACAGTTTTGGTCCTTCGTATCTCCTTGGACAACTTTCAGATAACAATATTATGAGAAGGTAGCTCTCCAAACTCAGTGGACAGAAGGCAGCCGCAAAGATGTGTCTGTGAGAGAGTACTATCCATAGCCTCGCCTCTCCTCCTAGTTTTCAGGACTCTACATCCTGTCCTTCACCGTCATCATGGTAGGTTTCATCCTGTACTGCTCCACCCCAACGCGCACGGCAGAGCCAGCTGAAAGCAGCGTGCCGCCAGTCACCAGCATTGGAATTGACAACCTGGGGCTGAAGCTTGAGGAGAGCCTGCAGGAGACCCACTCTGCCGTCCTGTAGCTGGAGAAGAAGGCATACACGTCCACATGAGGTTTCCTGGCGAGCTGGGAGCTGTCACCTGGATAAAGCAGAGCCTACTGCTTTGGGACACTTGAAAACTTATCAGAGTGAACACTCTGTAACATTGGGTTCGATTCAGTTGGATTTTAAAAGGAATATTAAAATCATGTATCAAAAGTGGAAATGCCAAAATAGAGCAGAAGCCGAGGCTAGGATTGTGTTTCTGTATGTTTCGGGCCCAATACCTGTTAGTGTCGGGGAGACAAGGTATGGGGCGCACCCTGGGCTGTTAGATGCACAAGTGGGAAAGCAGGATTGGGCAGATACTTGGGTGTGAGCCAGACTGGGCTAGGTAGTCAGGAGGAGGGGCAGCCCAGGGTGGTTGGGAGTAGGTTTTCTCATTTGGAGGCATCTGAGTTTTGTCTTGCTGAGCCAATTATTGTCCACAAACCTTGTGGCCTTTTAGGAAAGGGAAAATGGGTGTGGCAGCACTTGAGAAATCCTGAGATACAACGTGAGTACCATAGAAGCCTTCAAGTGGAGAACAGTAAACCTAGGAACCTTCTCCCAATTGTTACTATGCTACTTCTTAGCAAATAATGTGCCATGCGATTTTTATGATACCTCTTCAATACAGAGTGTTAATATGCAGCAGCATTATGATATCAACTGCCAGTATACCACTTTGTAAAACCTCTGTATGTGAACTTTTTGGGGTGAAAAATATAGTAATGAAACTGAGGGTAAATTCGTATTATTAAAAGATTTTGATTTCATGGAAATATATTTACTGTGTGGTTTCTTTGATTACCTAATTCCCCTTGTGGATTTTAAATGGCAGTACATTCAAGATTTCCTCATACACAACTTTTTAGAATCATGTCTTCTTCAGGTGGGGCAGTCTTCTCTATTTGGGGCTATGTCAGAATAGAGGGGAAATCAGAGCGAGCTCCCAAGTTATTTGCTGGGATAAACATTTAAAACTTTTGAATTACCTTAATTAATTTTTTAAGAAAACTTTTTAAGTGAAATAATCTTTCATTTCCTGCAGCCAGTTAAAACTGATGTTTTACTCTTTACCATTAACAACTGTCAGTGAGTGGAAAAAGGCTATGTTAAATGTTTGACTCTTTGGAGAAGACTTCCAGTTTGATTAATACACTGATAATTTCTTAAAATACCTTGATTAACAGTAAACCTGTATCTATAGGGATAGTGGTGAAGTAGCCCCGATGGCTCAAGTGGTAAAGAATCCACCTGCTACACAGGAGACACAAGAGGCTTGGGTTCCCTCCCTGGGTCGGGAAGATCCCCTGGAGTAGGAAATGGCAACCCACTCCAGTATTCTTTCTGGAAAACCCCATGGATGGAGGAGCATGGCAGGCTACAGTCCATAGGGTCGCCAAAGTTGGACACAACTGAGCAGGTAAACAGAGACAGAGACAGATAGGTGCAGAGTCTCAAGTGACATTATCCCACTGGATACTCAGTATCCACTATTCTGAGTCTGAGCTCAAATGAACTCAAATGAGTCTGAGCTCAAATGAATCTGAGCTACTATGAAGCCTTTTTTAGGCTGTCTAAGCTGGGTCTCCCCCTCCTTGATGTTCCCAGGGGCCCTTGTTTACTCACATCTTCCTTGTAACACTTATTGAATTGAGGTGCTTGTCATTTACTTGTCCCTTTTTACCACAGGTTGAGCTCTTCCATGTCAACAGCTTTTTATCATCTTTCTGTCCTTTGGTCAACTCATTTCTTCTTGAGTGAAGTGAGATTAATGAACTTTGTCTTTGGTCCCAGTTCAGAACATTTAAGGAGAGTCTGATCTAAAGTAAGCCCTTTTATGCGGATACATGTCTGTTGTTCAGTTGCTAAGTTGCGTCCAACTCTTGGTGACCCCATGGACTGCAGCATATCAGGCTTCCCAGTGCTTCCATATCTCCTAAATTTGCTCAAACTCATGTCCACTGAGTCGGTAATACCACCCAACCATCTCATTCGAGGTTGACATCTTCTTCTCCTCCCCTCAATCTTTCCCATCTTTTCCAAAAAGAGCTCTTCAAATCAGGTGGCCAAAGCATTGGAGCTTCAGCTTCAGCATCAGTCTTTCCAATGAGTATTCAGAATTGATTTCCTTTAGGATTGACTGGTTTGATCTCCTTGCAGTCCAAGGGACGAGAGTCTTTTCCAGCACCATAATTCGAAAGCCAATTCTTTGGCCGCTCAGCCTTCTTTATGGTCTAACTCTCATATCCGTACACAACTACTGGAAAGGCATAGCTTTGACTATATGGAACTTTGTCAGCAAAATGGTATCTCTGTTTTTTTAATGCACTGTCTACATTTGTCATAGCTTTTCTTCCAAGGAGCAAGTGTCTTTTAATTTCATGGCTGCAGTCACCATCCATAGTGATTTTGGAGCCCAAGAAAATAAAATCTGCCACCGTTTTCACTTTTTCCCCATCTATTTGCCATGAAGTGATGGGTCTGGATGCCATGATCTTAGTTTTTTGAATATTGGGTTTTAAGCCAGGTTTTTCACTCTCCTCTTTCACCCTTATCAAGAGGCTCTTGATGTCTGTAGGGAGTAAATTATCCTACCCTGCTCTTTTTTCACCTATTGCCCTTAATCCTGGTGTTTCTCCTTGCTTGTTCCCTTTGGAAAGGGGCAGAGGAGTTCCAGTCTAGGCATCTCAAATTAAAATTCAGAATTCAGGGTTCCAAAGGAGCAATGGTATGAATGACATTCAGAAACTAAATAATAATACTGCAAGGCTGTGCACATAAGCAGGGGCTTCTCCGGTGGCTCAGCGGTAAAGAATCGCCTGCAGTACAGAAGCCTCAGGAGACACAGGTTCGATCCCTGGGTCGGGAAGATCCCCTGGAGGAGGGCATGGCAACCGACTCCAGTGTTCTTGCCTGGAGAATTCCATGGACAGAGGAGCCTGGTGGTCTACAGTCCATGGGGTCGCAAAGAGTCGGATATGACTGAAGCGACTTCACACACACACAAGGCTGTGCATTCTGGTTTAAGTAAGTTGTGAAGACTGTCACTTTAACTAACCTGCATAATGCCACTTTCATGGAAGATGTGTTTTCAAATATCTGGCTTACACACAAGCTTTTGAAACACAACACATTATTAAGCTGAGAACTTTCTATAAATTCTTTTTCAGTCTATTAAAGCAATATTGATTTTTCTATATTTTTTGTAGATATTCATGTCATTAAAAAAAATCCTGATGAATAGTATAATAGAGTTTCTAGGTCTTTCTCTAGTGTTGTATAGAGGTAATAAATTGTGCAATTGGACTGTGGTAACACTGTCAGAAGAGAGGGCTTTGCTGGTACCATTTTCATTATTTGCCTTTTGAATTTAGAATCTCTTTTTCGGATGTGCTGTGCTCAGTCACGTCAGTCATGTCTCTTTGCAACCTAATGGACTGTAGCCTGCCAGGCTCCTCTGTCTATGGGATTCTCCAGGCAAGAATACTGGAGTGGGTTGCCATGACCTTCTCCAGGGGATCTTCCCCACCCAGGGTTCAAACCTGAGTTTCCTGCTCTCCTGCAGGCAGGTTCTTTACCCACTAAGCCACTTGGGAAGCCCCTTTTGTGGATGAGCACTTAACATTTCTTACCTTTCTGATGTGTTTCAGAGTATTAGAATGTAATATCAGTATTTCCAACAGGTGGCGCTTTAACAATTAGAAAAAAGACCTGTGACATTAAACAATCTTTTGTAGCACCGCCATCATGTTCTATTAAATCAAAGTGTTTTAAAAGGATCTTGATGTCTGTCCTCAGCAAGGATTGCCTTTGATTAACAGTTGAAGAATGCACATCTCAGAAAAGTTTAAATATCCTTTATGGGTCACATGTTTTGGTGGCTAAAGTGAAAACAGAATCTAAGAGTCCTTTCAGTTTCACTGAAATTCTTACTACTTGAAATAGGGAATTATTTTTTTTTCATTTATTTTTATTAGTTGGAGGCTAATTACTTTACATCATTGCAGTGGTTTTTGTCATACATTGAAATGAATTAGCCATGGATTTACATGTATTCCCCATCCCGGTCCCCCCTCCCACCTCCCT